GCTAATGTTATCTTAAGTCTCTTAAAAGGATATCTTTAATATCTCAACAGATTTTATGAGAACATAAATAAAAACCATTTTAAAGATATTAAAAAAATGATTGATTTATTTATTAATTAATTATTTGAAAGTATTTGTCTTAGGAATGTCAATTGTTTGTCTTTCTATATAACTCAGATGATTAATTTTAAACTGAAATGTTTTCATTCTGATGAATAATAAATATAACTATTATAAAAAATTGTCATGCTTTATCTTGATATTACTTTTTTGGGTGACACAATAGTCGACAGATCAAATCATTTTCGTTCTTAAAAAGCACATTCTTTATGTTAGTTGTCAAAGAAAATAAGAACCGACTAGTCTTCTCTCGACTTTTTTCCTCCTATTTTCAAACTATTGAATCAATAAACAAAAAATGATGTTTAGATTTAATATAACTTTATTCATAAAATGTACAAAAACATAAAAAAGACAAAATGTTGCCTAATTCCAATTAACTCGACGACGACCATAGAACTAAATAAAAAAAAGTTCTAATAAGAAAAACATAGTTAATAATACTAAAAAAAAATTACTTTAGGTTCAACAGTGGTAGTAGTAATAGAAGCTTGTGGTTTTTGTACTGAATCATGCATTTGTTTTTTATCTTCAGATTTCATAGTATCTTGTTTTTCTAATTCTAATCGAGAGTGTGTTCGCTCTTGTTCTAGAATTGATATCTTCGAAAAAAACAGGAAAACCTTTCAATTACTAATTCAATTAAAAAGAACAAAAGATGAATACTTGTCTTGATGAATTTTGTTTTTTCTCTTCTCTTTCTTTGGCTTGTTTTTGTTGTTCGATTAGATCATATTTTCTTGCTTGTTGCATATCATCAATAAGTATTCGTTGTCTTTCATATATTTCTTGTTGTTGTTCTTTTAATATTTGTAATTTTTCCATAATTTGTTCATGTCTTTTATCTATTATTTGACGTATTAATTTTTCACGTGATTCTTTTTCACGATTCCATTCTTGTTCACGACGAGACCATTGTTTAGCTATTTCTTCTCTTTGATGTAAACAATATAAATATAAATACTTGTTTTTTAAAGAGAGAAACTTACGGAAACATTCCATCAAGTTCTTGTTCTTTTTCTTTCTCGAATTTCATTTGTTGTTGAAACTGTTTTAACATATTTAAAGCATTTTGTCTTAATGGTTCTCGCTGTTCGGATTGTTTTAGATAATTTTCATTATCAACATGAGCGATTGATTCAAGAATTTTCATATCTAATTCCTAAGAATTAAAAATCAAGGAATATTAAATACCAAAAATTGATTATATATAACAAACCAAGTGTTCTTGAATTTCTTTCGATCGTTTATGAAATTTAATTTTATGTTGTCGAAGAAGTGGATGTCTAAAAAACAAAAAAACAATCATACGTGAATCAAATCATTGATATACCAAAAGGGAGATTCAACTATGAAATTTTATCTTCTCAGTTTGTTTTTGATCAATCAATTTTCAGTGTCTTCTATAAGAAGTATTCGTTGTCATGATAGACTACTCTATGTTGAGTCTCGATTCTAGAGTGCACTCGAAAAAACTATTTTATAGTATTGCACAAAAGTCACATCACCACCTCATTCGTAGTCATTATAAGAGCTTGATGCATGAAGTTTTGCGTAGATATAATTTATGATGAACGATAATCAATGGTATTATTTGTATTGAATTTGCTCGAGTCGTAACGGAACTATACAATATAAATTTAATTGAAGTTCAGTAAGTTCTTGAAGAATGACGATTATCTAACACTAGTATCATCGATGTTCTGTAGAAGAATGTGAAATCATTATGATAGTGATGATTCAACGAAAGTTTCATAGATTCATCTGAAATTTATTGAAAAAGTTTCCATACAATTGAACATTATTTTGTGATAGTTCCCAAAGTAAACATTGTACTGAGAAGAAATAGAAAAATGATGAACATTGCGTTACTATTAAGATTTCTAGAAAGTCAATTCTTAAACAAATCTATTTAGTATTACATTTTAGTAAAGAAAGATGATATATGCTTCTTCATTTTCATGGTGAAAGTGTGGATAATTACTGATGAATTTACAAAATAGCAATAAAACGTTTCATATGTATTTCTTTTTCTTATTTTTACTCAAAATTGAAAAATGATGTCGTAACAAGATGCATCATTAGTAAAATTTTAACAGATAGTTCATAAACTTCGCAGAACAACAAAATTAACTTCTCTGCTTTAGACAATGACATATTCGGATTAATATTGCTAATAATATTTTTCGATAATATATATGAATGTACTTCAACAAAGATTTTAATAATGATATGTCTTCATACGATATCATTCTCTAATTTTTGGTCAATGAAGGACAAAATGAATATCTATAGAACTTTTTGTTGCTATTGGGAAGCATATATCATCTTTTTTTAACAAATAGATACATTTTTACTTTACTATAGACTTTTGACAAGCACTTGATAAAAATTCAAGTATGGAAAAATCTTTCATAAATTTCAGATGAATCTATTAAAACTACATTGAATCATCTTTATCTAAATGGTTTTACATTGTTTTTACAATACATCGATTATTTATGAATTTTACAAGGAATATAACTACTACCTTCTATAACTCTGTTGTGACTTGAACAAAGTTGGCGCAAATAGTACTGTTGATTGCTGTTCATCGTAAACCATATCTACACAAAATTTCATATGTCTAACTCTTATAATGACTGCGAGTAACGATGGTGACGCGACTTTTGGTCAGTACTGCAGTGTTGTTTGAATTGAATTGGGTCACGAAAGGTATTTATCCGAAGTCGGCTCTATAGAGGATATATCTTTCGATAATAAGTTTTGTATGGAATTTTCCGCCTGATATCATCTAGAGAGATTTATATGGGATTGAATATCGATACATAGTCTCAATCTGTATTTTTATCATCATCATCATTAGCGGATATAACATTTTAAATTTTAAAAGCTTTAGAAAATTTCTATTTCTATGAACTAATCTATTCGAATAGTTCTTTTTAGTACTTCATCTAAATTATTGACGTTGAGCAACTTATATATGTAATCTTCATTTTCTCTTACCTTTCAATCACTAAACTGAATCAGCGTTGCATCTCTATTTAAAAACAAAAGAATTTTAGTCGCCGGTTGTACGTATATTCATTTACATCTGTACTCATCTCTGAAACGTCTAATTATCTATAGATGTAAAATTAGTCTAGAAAATATTGAAATAAAATAATAAAGAAAAGTACCTATCATCTTTTTGAATATGACATTTTTCTATTTGTTTTCTTTCTTCTTCATGTTGATCTAATTGAGATTGTTCTCTAAAGAGATGTTCTTCTTCTTGTTTTAATATTTCAGACTAAATTGAAATAATTTAAATATTCTTAAAAAAAAAAAAGATAACTAAATATAACAAATAACCTTTTCTTCTTTTTGTTTGAGTTCATCCATTTGTTGTTGTAAAATAATTTTCAATTGTTGAATTCTATTTGTTCGTTTATTTTCTTCTTGTTTATCTTGTTCATATAAATCGTGGCGTAATTCTTGTTGATATTTAACATTATTTTCTTCTTCTTCTTCTTCTTCTTCTTGTACCAAATGTCTTTCATTATGTTGTTCTGACCAATATTCAGGTTGTAAGTTTTCTAACTTTTGTTGTTCTATTGAACATAAACTAGGATTATTTATTGTCCCATGTTTATTGTTTTTTTCATGAATAATTGTTTGTCGTTCCGTTTCATGAGCTGAATGAAGAGAATTATCACCAATTTTCATATAAGGCATTGATTCACGTGATGATTGACGAGTTGATGCTAATTCATTCTTAATATTTTTTTTAGTAAAGAATATTTTTTTAATTATATTAAAAATAAAATTAAAACCTGATATTTGGTTTTTTCAGCTTCTAGAATAGCAGATAGATGAGTTCGACGCTGTTGAAGACGATTTGATTTATCTTGTTTTTCTTGTTCAATACGAAGTGCATCATCACTTTAGAAGTATATTATATTAATGTGAAAGAAATAAATTAATATTACTTTACCTCAATGTACCCGAAATAGGTGATGCCAATTTACTATGTGCAGAATTATAACGTGTCTGTGCATTGACATAGGTGGTTGTTTGAGGTTTTGCAGTACTATAGAGAAAAATCATAAGAATTCTTTAACATATGATTGAATTTTTACTTTTTTTCTGTTTCAATTTCTTGTTGTCTTTGAATCATCTGTTGCGGAATTATTAGATGTTTAGTTGCAGAATGAGAATGCAATGTTGGTAGTACTATTTTTTAATGTTTTCTATATGTACGATTGGATCTAAAGCCATTAAATCTTTCTTATCTATGGGATTGCCCTTCTTCAATAATTTTGTTTTTATTCATCAAAAGATATTAAAAATAAAAATTTAGAATTTAGTCAAGAATTATCGTTTGAATGTTATATACTTTCAAATAAATCAATTCAATATCGTGATAGATAGATGGTGCTAGTATATCATTGATGAACTCTTTTTTGTTTGTGTCATGTCTTCGATTCCCATAACTCATGATCTTACGATTCAAAGAAAAAAAAGTGTACTTTGATATACAAAGCAACTTTACTGGCTCAATTTTTAATATAAAAACATAACGAATTTTGATAGAAGAAGTGGTAGCACGTATGGAATTACGCTGTATTATCTTTCTTCAGATCCTTAATCGCATTTTTTTTATCAAAAGCACACGTTTACATATGCAACATGAAGACGAACAGAGAAAGCGAGAAGTAGAGAAAGATAGGGACATCAGGAAGGATAACTATGAAAGAAGAAAGGACAAAGCATAAGGTAACAAGAATGATAAGGAAGGATTAAACGTCATATATTAACAATCAATTCAACCAAAAAGTGAGAGCAGATAAGGGCACGCAATAAACTCATCAGAAAACGTCACAAAAATCCTTATTTTTCCCTATTTATTACTATAAAGTTTGGCTTTTTAAGCTCAATATTAGTGAAATCTGCGTCATAGTCATCACAACAACGACGTAAAATTCCGGTTCCACTATTGTAGTGCATTTCACTGTTTATATCCATATGGCTTCTCTCTCTTGGTTTCTATCAATGCACAGAAAACTTCATAGGACTAGAAATTTTATATTAGACTTTTTACACTAATGAAATGTTCGTCCGACATTGGCATTATTAATTATGTCTACTTAGTATGTTTCCTACAATATATTAGCTTTATTATCTATTAAATATGTATGAATGAATTGCAACTTTTTAGTGAGATTGAGATTCTAGCTATATTTGCGTAATAACTTTTGTTCTCGTTGACCGATTTGGACAATAGTTTTATATGCTATTCTTTTCTAAGTGTCGTACATTCAACGTCGGTAAAGCTAGCACCATATTCGTCATTTTCTGCCCACATTCGCTATACTATCTGAGTTGACTCTAGTTCGACTTGAGCTAGGTGCAGCATTTTACGCTGAATCGAATGGTGCTATTTTGAAGGGGGGTTATCGAGCAAGAAAACCCCTTATGCCCAAAATACTGGTTTTTCGACCTATTCTGCCAGATAATCCCTATCCGGATCCGCTATATTACCTGAGTTAACTCTACTTCGATTTAAGTTAGGTGCAAATTTTTACGCTGAATCGAATGGTATCTGTTTGAAGGGAGGTGTGACTGAGGAAGTTGGTTTTCTTGTCGGGAGATTGTATTTGCTTTCTGTTGCTGAGGATTTTAATATGTGGACGATGATTTGGTATGGGGATTGGTGATACTGGGGCTTGAAAGTGAGAGAGAGAGAGTCACTTGCTTCGCTTTGGCCATATCGCTTCTCGCGAAATGCAGTCATATCCGAACCCTCGTCGCGCACGATAACTTGTTATCGCTCCACTGTGAAAGTCTGTTGTCAGTGAAAGAGCGGAAGTATCTGGTTTGGTCACCGCGCAGAGTGATTGAGAGTGTTGCGGCGGTTTTACTCAGCACTGATTCGTCTGTAGTCGGTATTCTGTCTAGTTCAGTGAACATAGTTCTCAGTGTAGATGCTTGAGGTAGCGCTAAGAGTAAGGTGGCATCACTGTGGGTATTTTGTGGTTTCTAGTGAAGCTGTACACAGGTAAAATGATCCAGCCTTCGACACGCTGCTTCTCACTGTTTGATTTACTCACGCGTTGCAGTGGAGCTCAATAATCTTGTACCACTTTTTTTTGAGTCATATATTAATGCTAACAAACAAGATTCAAATTGTTTTCATCTCGGCATAGTAGAATTCGATTGGTATATATCCATAAGGGTGTATTGCACAAACAGTGTACCATAGTTGAAAAACTGAGCGAAAAAAGTTTTTCGATTTTAACAGCGGTGGCTAGTGCATCTTGCGGTAGCCCATGGGATGCGAATATGAATAAATGTTTACGACTACCACTATTCAATTGTCCAAGATACGACAGTTTTGTTAAAGAATCTTGTTTATAATTCAAGGTCCTTGTTCCTTTGATAGTAATTGCCTGAGTCAAATTTTCCGATGGATTCTTATGTTTCGGAGATGGATCTTTCCTTTATAATGGTGATTAGTGTTTGATTTAGAATCGTTGGCCAAAACAACACGATCTGCCCTAATTCATGCTTGGCTTTTACACTTATACAGTGATAAAATTCGTAAATGTTCAATTAATTATCGAATATGTATATTCAATAACCTTTTACTTTGAAATTACTAATCTGTGGGCTCCAAGTCTGGATTAATTCGCATGATTTTCGGTAGCCCCTTTAGCATAGAAATCAAGTAATAAATTATATTTCTACTTTAGTCCCAGTTATGAGAAAGTTATACACGCATAAAAAACTCGCGTGCCACTTTCACATGGTGTCTTCTTTTTTTCTACGAAAGACAAATTTTTCGATCCTGATATCTCGAACAATAGTTGATCTTAACAGATAGACAAAGTAATCAAAGTGTCAGCTCAGTCTTCTATACCCTCACAGAGTTATACAAGTAGGCATGCACCAAATCCTGTTTTTAGGTGATAAAGATGACGTATTTACGATGTCAAAAACCGTTAGTTCCTGTCAAACCTTCAGGTGCTCTCTACTCAACTTTTATCGTTCTATCTGACGGCAGTCACAGATATGTCAAATCCGACTAAAAAATATGCAGGATTTGATCAAAAAGCGTGAATTTTCGGTCAAATCCTGCATATTTTTTTAGTCGGATTTGACATATCTGTGACTGCCATCAGATAGAGCGGGAAAATTTGAGTAGAGAGCACCCGAAGGTTTGACAGGAACTGACGGTTCTTGACATCGTAAGTGACTCATCTTTATCACCTAAAAAACAGGATTTTGTACATACCTATATACAAGAAACAAAATGAAAGACCTCGCGTGACATTTAGTGTGACAACTATTTTTTAAGCTATTTCATATTTCATGGTAAAAAAAAATCTAGCATTAATTTGTTAAGTCTTTGTGGACTTATATCGTTCTCCATCAACTTTCGTTCAAATCTAAACTCGATCAATTTTCGATGCGTCGTTGCAAGCCAAAGTCATTTTTAATTTTGCGTGACAGCAATTTAAGGATTGACTGTATATTAAATATAAAGAAAAAACTGTCATAAGAAATATCATGTTAGAATCGATCAGTTTGTTATCCGATAAGTACCAAGTGTCAACTGTAATATTATCAACTTTCGAAGTTTAGGGGTGGGTGTGAGTGTTAATGCAGTTCAAATGATCATTTATATCCACACCCACCACACCTCGAGCAAAATATGAAAATAAGATCAGATTCGTGATCAGCATCAAAAACTGCATCTAGACATGTATGATTAAGCGATAAAGACGAAGTGCTGTAACTTTGCATTACGCGCATCTTGAAACAAATCTAATGATGCAGTTATAGATTTGTTTGATGATAGAAAGCGATATGAATGTTAGATCGAAGGACAATTAACGAGAACAATGTGCATTTGATTTATATATTCTATTAAATAAGCATACCTGTACAGACACAATGGTGATGATTAGGATGAGCACGTTTTGCAAAAGATACGATTTTTACAGATGACTGAGTATCAGTCAGTTTTTTTTGTTCGTCAATCAAGTTATATTAAAGAAAAGTAAAACGTTAACCTTGTTATTTCTAGCTATAATGGAAATCAATGTCACACCTCGTTCTCGACGATATCGAGTCTACAGAATTCTTGGGATATTATTGGCTCTAAATACTACTATTCTTTGGTTAGCAACAATACTGACTTTATTTGGTCAATGGGGTGCAGCGGAGAATTTTAAACGCCACGATTCGGTGGATAGTGATATTATCTATATATCTAGTGAAATTGCAGTACACTTACCTGGAATGATATTGGGTGCAATATCAGTAGGTATTCCTTATTTTTTAACGCTTCTCTTTACGAAACTCTATTATGATACTGACTTAAATGGATTTAAACGAATAATTTCTCTTTTATCGGTTATATTTGGATTCATTACAGTTATAGCGTTATTTGTGTTGTCGATTGTAAATTCAATTAATTCTAAAGATGTTCATTATTCATTTGTTGGAATCTTTATATATTCGAATCTTCTTTCTGCTCTATTAACAATCATATACCGATTTAAAATAAGTCAGTTTAATATAACCATAGTCGTTCGTGCTGCGTTTATCGGAGTTTGCATTCCTTTAACAATAACTTTCATTGTAATAGCTTCAATTGGTATGGCAAATAATCGGTCGAACTTGAATTCAGTAGCAGGATCTATTGAATGGTTTATTGCTATATTACTAATTTTCTATTATGGTTCATTTATTTTTGATCTATTACTTTATAAAACATAACTGAATTCTTTTGTTACAAATAAATCAAATGTAATTGTCTATCTTCCTTTTTACTGAGGGTGTGGGTGTAGTGTGTGAGTGCGGGTGTGGGTGTGGTGTGTGAGTGCGGGTGTGGGTGTGAATGGAATGGATATGGATGGATGTGGATTGATCATATCACAGCTAACATACCCACACCACCTATACCCACACCCAATAGCCAATGTATCTTGAAAATAATCCATAGCTGTTGTTTGTTTATTTGTATTATCAGTAAATTTGTGTTCATCTGGTGGACGACGAAACGATTTAAAACAATATCGACAAGCTTCATTTGTATATTGTATTTCAAACCAAAAAAAATTTTAAAATATTTTGAATGAGTAATTGTTGATCTTGTCGTGGAATACCAATAACAAATGAAAAATTAAGATTTTCATAAAACAATTCAAATAAATGAGATTGATTGAAACTAAGGAAGATTCTTAAACTTATTATATAATATAGATTCTAACTGTGATAGAATAACAATCCATGATTTAATCCATTCATTTGTAAAGTGACAATATGTATGGAAAGAAGATAAATGATAGACATGATAATCTTACAATAAAACAGTGTTTCATGAAAAACTCACCATCTCTACGAATATCATAATTTAAATAAAAGAGAGAAATTCAATTAAATCGTAATTTCGATAAAAACAACGATATATATTATTAATATTCAATGTTGGACCACATTCACTAAGTACAATCGCTTGATAATATCCTGATCCAATTCCTAGTTCATCACCTGCAACAAAACAAAATTTATATTTAAAAACATATGAAATTCGATTTCTTCTTTGTACTTAGATCATATAATTATTGATATTTTGGATATGAGTCACTTTCAATGGTAATCATATTGGATCTTTATATTTGTTTAAATAATATTTCAAGTATTCGTACCAGATTATGTGCTTCTACTATTGAGGTTCGGTTTTCAATAAAATCAAAAATACTTTGTAATTCATAAGTTTTAACAAGATTAATTAAAAATCGGAATTTATCATTTCTTTCAATTGTTTTATGATAAATTTCACATTGATATTCTTTTTTAAATTTATATGTTAAATCTTCTTTTGCATATAAATATTTTCTATTATCATCCCAAACAAGTGGAAAATGTTCTTGTTTAATGATTTTTTGAAGAACTTCCAAACGTTCATGTCTATTACATGAATGCCATGAGCCACCACTCATTAAAAGTTCAACATCAACATTAAATTGGTAGAAAATGGTTTTATTTGATTGTTTAGAAAATTTGATTTGAAAATGATTTGTATAAACTTCAATTCGTTGACCAGCTGAAAAAAAAGAAAAAAAAGATTTTTTATTCAATAAAAATCATATGAAATACAATGTCCACGTTGTGATGATCGTTTAGCGACTGTTGTTAATTGAGTATTTGGTACAAATGAATGAGTGGTTGGATGAACAATTGAATGTGAATGGCTTATTGTATCTCTTCTACTATTTGATGAAGCTTTTGGTGTAATATCATATGAATCGTTATCGGTTTGTCCATTTCGATTTGATTTTTCATGAATTATTCCAGTTGAAGAATACGAACGACGTTGAGAATAATCCGATGAAATTTCATCTATATGACTTGTACAAGCTAAAAAACATTTTCACAGAAGTATTTTTTCATTTAGAAATAAATGCTACTTTAACATCATTTCAGTATTATATAATCAACATTTTTATCTTTTAATATCATTCTTCACGAAATATTTCGGCTTTTTCATAAAACAAGATTATTCGTATATTCTAATAGGATTCTTCTATCATAACTGTAGTAATTAAGAAGTTGATAGGGTTGCTCTAGAATCTGAAAGTGACAAATAATTTATGCTGGTTTATTAACCGATGGGATTATTTAGACTATTAACAACCATTAAGGAGAATCTTACTATCTATGTTCTGTTCAGTGCTTAATCTAGAGTTTTTTCTTCTAGATAAGAAAACATTTATCTTGAGCAAAACAGACATATAATCAAACGAAGAAAAGCTGGGATTCGAGTAGAGCCCATCGGAGAGACTAGAACCCGAATCTGAACCCGGATTCGATCGGATTCGGCCCTGAAACTTCCTTTTCGACCAGATCCGGGTCTAGGCCCGGGTTTGGGTATGGAAGTTTATGGTCAATCGGGTCCAACTAGACAGTTGCTACTTTACAAGTAACAACCAATTAGAACCTTTTACTTTTGAGATAACTGTCAAGATTTTTAGAAAACTGTATAGGACGTGCTAGTTGCTGAATCGAAATAATGGAGAAAAGTATTCCGTATCTTCGGAGCAGTTATCAAGTTTGAATTTAAAAATTTCATTGAGAATATGATGAGCACGAATTGGGTCTGGGTCCAGGTCTGAAAAATGTTCAATAAACTGGGTCCGGGTTCAAAAAAGTTAGACTCAACGGGCTCCACACTCGAGTCAATTTCAGACTTCAAAAATCAGTTGAAGTCACTTCAAGTCAAGTGAAATCCTATGAGGTCATCTAACTTCAACTATGACTTCAAAGTGGCTTCAATGCCACTTGAAATCAGTTGAAGTCGATGGAAGTCAAATGAAGTCAGACGCAATCAGTTGGAGTCGGATAAAATCAGATGAAGTCACTCAAGATTATTTGAAGTCAGCTGAAGTCCAATGAAGACTTGTGTAGCCATCTGACTTCAAGTAATATAGAAGTAACTCGAAGTCAGTTAAAGTCAAATTTGTTGACTTTATTAGCTTTTTTTCTTCTTGAATATAATATAGCAACAAATAATGAACCGTTACGGTTCGCTTGCCTTCTCTCATAGTATTAACCTTAACGATATGTCTTTTCCCTCTTTCTTTTGTAGAAGTAGTATATAAGGGTGTGTTTAAAACAATACATATATATATACTATATAAAATTACAGTATTACAATAATTCATCATTACAGAGGGTAGTAGTAGAGCTTTGCCTTTAATTCGCCATAAGTATGTGCTGCAATACTTAGAGATTCCAAAGAGGAAGCCTCTTCTCATTGCATCAAACACTGATTTTATCAGAACTGGATCTAAAGCAGATATTTCTTGTATCGATTTGAAAATAGTGAATGTCCAGTGTATTGTACAAGTATTTTTAGACTTTTTTTAATCTAGAATGTGTCATGTTGACCTACTTACATAAAACGACAATTTCAAGTGTGCAATACACAGCTCTTTTAAACTTTGATTAACTTGAACTTTCTTCAATAGAATCAAAAAACTGTCATTACAAACGTGTGTATAGGTTTGTTTCTGCTTTTCATTGTGTTTATTACACATATCATCAGAAGTGATATATATAGTTGAAGAAGGTAGACGTCCTCAAATAACTGTTGATCTTGATCCTATAAATATTTGTGTAAGGATTTACTTTTGTTCAAAACAATGGGGCATTATTTAACAAAGCCACGGATATAAATGTACTGGGCAAAGACAATGATTTCGTTGGAAAAAAAATGTCTTAGTTCAATGTATTGCTCGTCTCTTAAGAGTGATATCGCAACACTTGAATGACTATTTACCATGTTTGAGTGAATAAGAATCTCGACCCGAATCATCTATTAAGAAAACATTAGAATAAATATTTAATTAAATAGAAGATATCTACATATACCATCTAAATAATGTCAACCTTTATTTGATTGCATTTATCGAAAAATACAAAGTTATGGCTTTTCAATCTAAAAGTAAAGTAAATCAAAGAATATTTCTTAGAAATGAAATGTTCGTCTATCCAGTACATTAGAAAGAATAGAAGAGTATATATACTAGCTCATTTATCAAGTGAAATGGACGACTATTTATCTAAAGTTTTTTCAAATATTGTGTCACCATTTTTATAAACATTGAAAAACTATATAACTATCCAAAAATAATCTAAGACTGAAACAAGAAAAAAAGCTGTTAGCGCATTCTCTGTGAGATTAAAATGTGAAACACAATTGATCTACCTACTCAAATCATACTTCGAATCGGATCGGCCAGTCCAGTCCGGTTGAACTTTTAAAACCAGAAAAAATCGATTTAGACCGGTTTGACCAGTTTTTTACCAAATTTTAGGCACGAACACTAAATTAGTATATTTTACTAGTTTTTATTGATTTTCATGGCTTCGAAAATCAACTGATATGGTCCTAAACGTTGTTAATTGACAAATTTAAATCAGATGAATTTAGCAATTAAATGTAGTCTAGCTGGTAAAACTAGTTATGTGAAATAATGGTCTGTCGTTTCATAGTAACTAAAATTTTTCTCTTATGACTGTGTACTTCTTCTTTCTTATACGTGTGAAAGAAAAAATGTTGATATTTACTTTTTTTTAAATGTTATAACAATAATTGTCTTTCATACTCAATAAACTAACACTTACAATGGAGGTTCGTGTACTGTAACCGAGCTAGACTTGATATTTTAGCATCAAAAGATAGCTCTCATCGTCAAACTAACAAGGTTAAAATATTAGCGGCTGTTGACTTGTCTAGAAGGAGATATTCGATTTTTACTGTATTTACAGTATATGTAGGATGGCTACAATTGAAAATTTTGATAGAATTTATTTTTCTTTTTTCATGATGGTTAGATAGAGCTCGTCAAGTTGCATTGGATAAAATGTGTTTCAAATTTTAAAAAGAGGTTTTAAAAAAATTTGCGAACCATCGAAATTTTGCATGTATTTTTTCTTATATTTGAACATAACAGTAAGTTGGATCCTTCGTTCAAGATTTTTTAAAATCTCTTTTTGAAATTTGAAACATACTTTTTCTAATGTAACTCGACGAGCTCTATCCAATCATCATGAAAAAAGAAAAATAAATTCTATCAAAATTTTCAATTGTAGCCATCCTACATGCACCATAAATACAGTAAAAATCGAATATCCCCTCTAGACAAACCAAGGGCTGCTGATATTTTAACCTTGTTAGTTTGGCGATGAGAGCTTTCATTTGACCCGAATATGTACCATCTTTTCACTTATCAACACACATACCTCCATGGTGAGTGTCGTTTACCGACACCGTATTATTACGGTAGTCGTAAACGGCGAATATTCACGGTCATTGTTTCCGATGAGCGTAATACACCGTAAAGCATCGTATACGATTGCCATAAACGGTCATTGTAAACGGCTGCCGTTTGCAATATCTTACGATATTATCCGAGCGTCGTTTACTGTCGCCGTATTATTACGGTGGTCGTAAACGGCGAACGTTTACGGTCATTGTTTACGATGAGCGTAATATACCGTAAGACGTCGTATATGACTGCCGTAAACGGTCACTGTAAACAGCTGTCGTTTTTCGTCGTAAATGATTGGTATATGGCCGTTTACGGTCGGACGTAAATGACCTGGAGAGGTAAATAAAGTCCAATATCATTATGAAAATCTAAATGACGACGAGATAAATCATTTTTAGTATTTGAATTCTCAATCGATGACCATATATCAAGACCATCAGCCTATTCAGGTCTATGAGAAAAACGTGAAAACGATTTAAATGGACTATTTGATAATTCAATTAAATGTTTTGTTAATGATCGATCAATTGATGGATAACGAGCAGATGATGAACATTCTTCAAATTCCGATAAACCCATCTTTTTTTTTATTTCTATTTTGATTAATAACAAAAAATATTTCTTTCTTTTCTTTTCTTTCCTTTTTATTATTTTTTAACGCTTTTTTTTTTATAGATCTATTGGAGTTTCTATTTTAACCAATAAGAATAAAGAGGTATCAACACTAACAACATGAGTTTTTTTCATAACAACTATTTATTATTCATAAAGATTTTAAATCATATCAAATCTTAGGAATAATTCTCATAGAGAATCAATATAACAATAAAAAATCGCTGTAGAAAAAAAGTTCAATAATAGAATAATTGATTTATAATCGTTGATAATAAAATAAATATTGAGAATTTTCAAACAAATCGAAATAAACATATTTGACATTAAGATTAATTTATGAGTTAGCTAAAAAGGATTAGAAATTTTTCTTTTATTTAGTTCATTCAAGTACCATTTACTTTTTATATAGAAATACGTCTCTCAAGTAGAAAACAACAAAACATTTATTTTGTTTTAAATTTATTGTAAATTCTATTTCAACGGTTTCAATCGACCGAAAGTTTTTTCAATAGAAAACCACAAACTGAGTCGACTGTATCCAATATCTGTGATAGGTTCAAGATCAAATGTAATATAAGTTTTTAAAATATCTTAGAGATTTGCACTAAAGTTTTTTTCGAAGATTGAACCGATATGTTATACTTGTTAAAAATTTCTCCAAGAAACAAAACATATAAAGAAGAGATAAGATTGTCGTTAATGTGTGATCGATAGGATTGCTATAAGTTAAATATCGATAATATATCAAATGATGGTGATCTTGGTTTAGTATATTTCATTGTTTTTTTAAGTGAATAATTTTGTACTCTTTAACAGTTTTTTTGTTTAAAAGAGCTTTTACGCAATGGTATTTTTCTATGAAAAAAGTTTCAAAAAGAAATATTTTACTAAAAAGCAAATCGATAAAGATACCAAACATTAATTGACAATATGTTAAAAATAAATAAAAAACTTTGTTTTAATTGGCTATAAACGATAAGACTTTTTGAAAGTTTTCTTTTTGATCAATATTCTTTTTTTCATAATCAGCTAGTAAATGTATTGACTAGAGTTTCTAAGATTTCAATCGAAAAGAGAAATTGCAGAAAATCGGATGTCAATTATTGATCAGTGTTTGAAAAAAGTTGATTCTAGGTATCACGTCGAGCTTGAAAACAAAATATCAACATTTTTTCTAGAGTTTATTTTTTGTTTGAAACAAAAATATAGTAATAAGTCGTAGTTTAAGGAAAAAAGAAAGATAAGCATGTAACTCTGATAGAAAAGTTAGTAAAAATACTTTGAAAACGACTTCACTTCAAAGGTTTAACTAGTGAATCGACACATGTCACTCAATAAAAACTAGTGATAAGATATTTACATATGACCGACGAATAGAAAAATATTTTTGAGTTTTTTACTTTCTTTTGAGTTTATTTAAAACAAAGTTTGTGTTATTCTATTAAAAAAAAAACTTTGAATAGATTTTTTATGATGTTTTCGTTTTTTGTTTTCGTCTATGAACAGTAAAATGTGCTTGTCTACTTAAGGTATTCCATAACGATAATCCAAAGGAATAAATGAATCGAAGTTGATATTAATAAGCATTGGAATCTTTTTTTTCTCACATTTAATAAATTTATCATTTACAGTGAAAAATTTGCTTGGTTTTTTGATATTTTATTTTAATTATAACAAAAATTTTTTATCAAGAAGAAATCACAGATTTTGTTTTTTGGTTGAAATTCTTTTAAAAAGAGTATAAATGATTAATGAGCATATCATGTATGAATAGAACGTTTGTTATTGTCCTGGTGAAAATAAGTATTCTTATCGGTAATATAATATGTATGTCATTAATCGATCAAAAACAAAAGACTTCTTTTCAATAGCAAAAAAAGAACACATATTCAGAAATGAAACGTTAAAAATAAGACGTTAAAAAGATGATTATAAATGTTGCTTATAATGAATTTGTTTATAGTGATTTGAATCATATTGTGATGATGACTTACTATCGAGTCTCGATACACAATCATTACTGTTTATTGCAACAATATAAGGTGATGGTTATTCAATGAATTTAATTGTTGCTTTTATTTTATTTTTTTAAATATTTTCGTCTCAAACAAAACCATGTGATTAAAATACCAATGAAAACGATTTCAAGAATTCCACAAATCGAACTAACAATAGGAACAACTATAGTTAGAGAGATGAAATTTTGGAAAAATTATAGATTTTGTTTAAATATATATCTCATAAAAAACTCAGTTTTATATGTCAAGAAAAAGTATCTAGAATATGATTATATAATTGGCTACTGTGAGTTGCTCTTTATGAGAGAAATATAATTGATCTTCCTTGGTATTTGAATACTTACCCTGATTTTTTTCAAAATCTTTTCTTCTCCTTTTCCAGAAACTCTACAGTTATTAGACAAGTATGATCGTGCAAGTAGTCTTTGCTGAGACTGATTTATTAATTATATTCAATAACGATGATGCAATTACATAAATGATTAAATTTCGAATTTTTTATTCTTGTTTTTCATGAAAGTGTTTTACATGAATCTTATTATTTAAACAAAAACAACAATTGTCTTTGACAAAATAGCGAATTATATTGTGTTCTATCGTTTTATATTGTGCTGTTTTGTGTTGCATTGTTTTGTGTTATATTGTTTTGTGTTGTATTGTTTTGTGTTGTACCCTAGAGAAAGTACTGAGTTCAGGGTACCCATGTACTGAGAAAGCCTCAGCAGGGTACCCGATATGGGTACTTCGAAAATTTTCAGTAATTATACTGACGTAGGTGCTGCATTGGGTACCCATTGCAGTATGTTTGCTGAACAAGTACTTGCATGAGTACCCGCACCTGTAATTTTACTAGGAAAAGCTCTACAGGGTACCCTAGATTTGTTGCGTTCTGTGTAGCAACTGTTCATTCACCGTTTTCTTTTGCATATACGGCTTCATATAAGCAACTCGAGGAAGCATAAGAAAAAAAAATTTTTTCATACTAATTTTTTCTAGATTATTTTTCTTGACTATTTACTAGTCGAGGACATGCTGATCTCAATCGTAGATGGAGAGAGGACTACCTTGAAGTGGTCTGATGGAGGTCCGACCAATTCGTGTCCAGTCAGATCTCGAAATTTGACCTGCTTGGCTTTTCAGAATTAGAAAAATAAAATAAAATAAAATAGAGAAAATATCATAAATTGCTTTGAGAGAAACAAAAATGAAAAAAAGCCAGAGGTTAGTTTCGATCATCAACATACTGCAAGTTTGGCAACAGGCTACCCAAAATTACTGAACAATAGTACCCAGTTGGGTACTTGATCAGTACTTTCAAGTACCCATTTACTGGATGCTTTCTAGCAGGGTACTTGGTCGAGTACCTTATAGGTATCTAAAAGTACTTTAAGGTACTTCAGTACCCGAAAGTTCCTGTGACATACTAGTAGCAGGGTACTTTTTCGGGTACCCTTAGCTCAGTACATTCACTAGGGCGTATCATTGTGCTGCATTGTTTGGAGGAGGGGGCGTCTCATTATAGATGAGACCTGGAAACATTGTTTCCTGTTTTAAAAAATCCATGCTTTGTACCTGATCGTAAAATTTTCTCGCTGCTTGCACGTCATCGTAACTATTATAAAAGTTTCTTTAAACAATAATTAGTAGAAATTAAGAACTTACTATATTTTGAAATCAATACCACCTTGATGTGCACTGGATGTACAAAATTCAATTTGGATAATCGAACCTCCAGCTTTGGCTACATGATGGAGATGGTTAGCCGCAGCTAAATGTAGAATAAGCAAAAATACTTGACATGAAAAAAAGAATATTATATTATTTACCTTGCCATTGACCACCAAAATCATGTTTTAATGTACCTTTTACGTAACTTCCAGAATGACGGTCTCGCTAAAACAAAACATTATTAGTTATAAGTTTATCTTCTTTGAGTTTTAGATTAACTAAGATTATAAAACAATTTTATTCTTAACGTACCCCTTCAATAATACACATGTTTGAGCAATATTTAAACAAGATTTAACAAGCGAAAAGTCCTACATACCTGAAGTTGCCAATGCTGCACACCATTGGTTCGATAAAAATAAGATCGCATCATTGTTACTCTTCTAATACTAAAATGAAAACGATCGAAAACTAATTTAATGTTCGCCCAGCAACAAAAATAATATCAAGAAGAAGAAGAAGAAAAACAAAAGGAAAGATATCACACATAAATACGAAATTATTCATCTTTATCGAACATATCTAACCATACAAGAATGATGTATTATTCGTCACTTAGTTTCAATTTGTCCTCCAAATAGAAATAGATTAAATTAAAATAAAGAAAAGAAAAGTAACGCCTCGATACTGTGTTATAGACTAACTTTTTAACATGATAGCGCTAGCAGTAACAGAAGGTCAACTAAACAAACGTTTTTCGTTGTTTTCTTGATAAACTTTGTGCTTGCAATTCTATTTTATCTTTTTTTCTAGAAAAACTCATTTTTATTAACCTGCATTAAGTGAATATTGTCCATCTCATATCTCAATAGTCTTAAGATACTCATCAAGTACAGTTGCCGCTACACCTAATTTTCTAGTACCCATAGATATTGATCGATTTCATTGCTGAATAGACGGATTATATTTTCATACAAGCAAGAAAGAAATAAATAAATTTTACTAAAAACAAATAACTTTCACTTCTACAAGGTTTAAACGGTAAATTCTCTCTTGTTCATCAGCAGCAAAAACACATCTATCAAAATCTAAACAAAATAACATAGTTGATAAATATTTCTTTTCTTATTACTGTTCAAATAGCCAATATTATCATAGTCATCAACATTATGTTAAGTATTAACAAGTACAGTAGCTACTATTCCACATCTTCATTTTGAAATAAGTACTACAGCTTTGTATTCATTTGTTTTTGAATTCAACATTTTAACAAATATCATTGGACCGTTTGAAAATCAACCATCAACTATTTTTACAAGAAAAAAAAATCTTTTTGTTTCATTAAATAAATATCTCCCACCTTGATTCGCTCCTATCAATAGAAGTCTACAGTAATTTTATTAATAGTAAAGCTGAACACTCATCGACGGAAATTGAACATATTCTAATATCTAAATACAGTCTTATTTGTTTCAAACTGGAATAAAAAATATAACTTAGGTATACTAATGCATACTCTGAGAAAAAAAAGAGTCTAGTAAAAAATACCAATCAACCACATGATACTTTGCCAGTGTTGTTTGTTCAAAAGAAGTATCAAAACAGTACTTAATATTTTTTTTCTCAAAGCAAATTTTTCATAACCGTGGCTGCTAACATGATTACAATTACCAAAAATGTCTGCATACATTACGAAATTGTTCGACAATTCATATCACAGCTCTCAATAGATAATACTATGAATTGATTGAGGCGATGTGATTAGCTGTCCAATCAATTCATGACTTGACCCATTGATAGCTCTGGTTCGTATACAGATTGCTATATAGCCAGAGAATCCCATGTCTACTTCCTTTAAATTTATTATCAGACAATCTCAAGATCAGCACATACCCAACACTCAATAAAAAAAAAACATTCATATACTCTCACACCAAAAGAGAATTTTTTATTCAGTCTACACTTCAAGAAATTCCGATGGATGGTTAGAAGTAAACTAAACTGGAGTTCATGGATCATGTTTTACCCAAGTTCGCTGTTTATATGAGAGAGAGAGCTTTCGATCTACGGCTTATTCAATTTAATCGATTTTCTCGTGTGATAAACTTTATTCATAGTTTACGTGTTGGTCACTGACATGCATTAAAAGAATGGCAATCCATCTAATTTATTTGTTATTAAGGATGGCCTTTTATTTTTCGTCTTCATCATCTTGGTAGAATGTAAATAAACTAGATAAATCTTCATCGTGATCATAAACAAATGTATTTTGTTTAATGAAGAAAAAATAAATTATTGTTTTAATAAAAAAAAAAGATTAATGTGTTTGAATATAGTATAAATAATATTCACTAGTCGATGATCTTGACATCATTCTTTCCAGATTCTTGTCTGAAGTTCAAGATAAAAGAATCTTGACTACTTGATCAAGAAAAACAAGAGTCTGGAAGGAATTACAAGATATTTAGAACTTCTTGCAGTTCAAATAAGGTTCTTGTGACAGAAAAGAAAAAGATTCTTGTCTGATCTTCAAGACAAACGTCACGTGATGTCTTTGTGTGCATGCATCTATATATATCAACGTTTATACGTTATTTATTCATTTTTACACGATAATAGTCATTGATTATTCTGCTCAATTAAATGGACAAAAGATGTTCTTTTCAAACCACATATGGGTTGCAGGTCAGCACCAGGTAAATGAAAATATTTAATAGTAAATATACATGTATTGACTCACTAATGTGAGTCAATTTATAATTGATTTTAGGGTTTTTCAATAACAATAGTATCACAACAACGGTTTGGCGTTAGATATCAACCATTATTGGTTCTAGATAATAAAAATATCAAAAACACGAATTATAATAGTAAGTATGCGTTTTTAATGTAAATAAAATATTTTTATCATTTTTCTCCCTCCATCTGTATGTAAATAAATTACTTTTAATAATTTATTGGTTTTTTTTCTAATAAACATGTCAGATTCAAGAAAAAAAAGAAATCAGGCAAGAATTTCAAGAAAAAAAGAAGCCGGCAAGAACTCAAGAATCTTGTCTGATGAGGCAAGAAATGCCTCATCAGACAAGATTCTGTCTATAAGAATATCATCAGAATGCCCAGATCTATTTTTTCAGGCAAGAGTCTTGTATAGAAGGAATGGCAAAAGAACCTTAACTGATAATCAAGAGTCTGGAAAGACGAGAGGCAAGATCGTCGACTAGTGTTGCAACGATTTCTTTTTAATATTAAAGAGAACAAATAATTAAAATCAAATGTAAGAAAAGTTTTTTATATTCTACTATTGATACTATAATAGATATATTCACAAAATGAATTGTTAAGAATAAGCAGTGAAAAAGATGATTATGAACGTTGACTATAACGAATTTGTTCATAGTGATGTGAAGATATTGAATTATTTTGGGATGATGATATATCATAGAGTTTCGATGTACTATCATTAGTACTTAGTGCACCTGTATAAAGTGATGGTTGTTCAATGAATTTAATTGTTGGTGTCATTTGTTTTATTTGGTTTTTTTAATATTTTCGTCTTAAACAAAATCATATTATCAAAATAACAATTAAGGCAATTAGAACTATTCCACACAAAGAACCAACAACAGGACCAACTAGATTTGGAGGTGATTGACAATCATCTTCTTCACAAGGTTCTAGAAAACAAAGATTTTTTTTAATGTAAAATAGAAAAAGTGATTGATAACCTCTTGGTCTTTCAGTTGTTTTTGGTGTTATTTTTGGTTCATCTTCACTGTGAATATATTCACCTTTTATTTAAAAAAAAAACAAAAGAAAATTGAGTTTTATTTTGTTTTTATGATCTTACCAATAATATTAGCAATAATCAATATCAGAATACTGACATATGACATAAACATGGTAAAACTATATATTTATAAAATATAAATGTATAAAAAAGACAGTAAACAATTTCTATTCATATAAATATCATCGATTATCGATCAATCTCATACCTTTATTTTACTTCTTTTTTTCTCTCTTTTCTTCTTATAATATATATATTGAGTCATAAATACATTAGTTTTCCTATAGAGTATAATCTTGTATATGTTACCTGAAAGAACGAATGGTAATTATTGGAATAATATCCTTGTTCGACAGTTCTATGTCAAACATATACTTTATAAACAATATTTTGATTTAGTCTTCTATGAAATTTGTCACTTTTTTTTTCTAAATCAAAACAAGTAAAGTAGCAGATTGAAATAACAATGAACAATATTCAATATTAGAAATATTTCATTGTTATTTATCCAAGCACATAATGACATATTATGAAAAATATAAATTAATAAAAGAAAATTGTTTATGAATATTTCAATTTCTAACTGTTCTTGAAGAACTTGTGAAACTTAAAAGTAAAATTAAATTGTTAAAGATCTTTTCAAATATGTTGATGTTAATTGTTTTTTGTTTTGATTTGTGTAGCTTCATATGGAGAGAATTTCTTTATTTGTATACTTTTTTGTTGTCATAATCTAAATAACTAAACTCAATAATTGAATATTTAAATTTGAAATATTTAATTATAGAATTCAATTTTCATGATTGACGATATGTATATGCTTCTTTACTAATCACTACACGACAAAACATTTGAGTTTGCACAATTGGATACGACGATTTCATTGAAGACATTCTTTCAATTCTTAAATTTGTTTTTCAATTCTAATAAAAAAAATGAGAGCAGGATAATATCCATACAATTGACTTGTGCCGTCCGATGTGAAAAAGCAAGACGATACCATGTATGCATTATGAAAATGGAATGCCGACGAATCAGTCATGCGCCATATGCACTAAAGACATGCAAGAAGAAAAAAAGGTCATTTTTTCGTCGTATATATAAATTTGAAATTTTATGCTTAAGCTCAAAATTAATTAATTTTTTTTAATTTTTCTTTTTTAGTTTTAGATGTGATATTATAAAATATTATATTCAACTTTTTTTAGTTAAGGTATTAAAAAATTCAGGTAGATTTTTAAAAAATTATTAATGTTCATTTATATTTTTTTATTTTTATTTTTTGTATAATTTTTTCGTGTATTATATATTTTTTTTAAATTATTAATGTACATCTATAGTTTTTTATTTTTTTTGTATATTTTATTTTTTTAATGTTTTTCTATATTTTATTTTTTTTTAATCATTAAATTACATTTATATTTATTTTCTGTACATTTCATTTTTTTCATGTTTGTTGCAAATTTTGTTTTTTTCTATATATTTTGTTTTTTTTTAAATTTTTGATGCACATTTATTATATATCTTTTTATATATTTGTGCATTTATTTTTTTTTTTATTTTGTATTATATTTTTTTGTATATTGTATTTTTTTTAATTTTTTAATATAAGGTGCGCGCAATTCAAAATTACAGTAATTTTTTTCTCGATTTTTATCCATAGTTGGATAGAGCATAATTTTTCACCTAGGAAAAAGTGATTCTTTAGATTTAAAACCGATTTTTGCCAAAAAAAAATTTTTCGGCACTCAAATTTCCAAAAAACGTCTATTTTTGCTCTTTTTAAGTAGTAAATCGGCAATTGAATTTTTTTATGTTGTTTTCAACCTCTACTGATGCTTTTTTCTGATTCGCGACATGAGTTTGTCTATAAAAATCTATGTTCGATATATTTGTCCTGACTGCGATACACCTCTATGTATTGTTGATTGCTTCAAAGACTATCATACAAAGATGAACTACTAATAATTTCTTGACACAAAAATGTAATTTCTTCGTAAAGAAATAAAGATCATATTTAAAAATTTCATTCGAGTTTCGCAAAAAAAGCCGGGACTCAAAGGGTTAAATTTTTATAAGCTAATTACGTTAATGCAGCTTTTACTATTTCAAGAAACGAAACTGTTTTGCTAGTTTATAAATTCTGCCATATTTTCGCTGCACATTATCTAATACATTTCACTATATTTCTTAAATCAATGTTTGATGATATAAATCATATTAACAATTATCCTAAGTGGCGCCAATTAAGTCAACAAAAAAAAAAGTATTTTTGATATTTTGAAGTAAACACAAAAATGGAAAATTTATATAAACAGAAAAATAAATTTTTCATTTTTAATACTATTTGTCGTTAAATACGTTAGTGTAGTGAATAATCCTATTCAAATGAAATCACTACATGTTTATTGACAACTTCAAGTTGTTAATATAAATATCTCTTATCGATCATTTATTGATACTCTTTTTATCTCGACTAAAATGCAACGAACACAAATAAAAAGAAAACAAGAATACAAAAACAATTGAGTATTTCTATATCAGAACAAAAAAAAAAACAAACAAATTCATTCAATTGAAATAATATCTAACTTAAATTTTAAATGCGTTGTTGATATTTTTTATCCGATAAAATAAAAGTTTCATAATTATTTTGTTGATAAGATGATGGTAAAAATGTTTGTTGTTGTTCATATTCATATTTAAGTTGTGATAAAATATGTTGATCTTTTGATTGATTAATATAAATAGATAAATAATTAAATAATTTTTCTATTAATTGTTGATTTGCTCGAATTTGTTTTAATTGATTTATTTCATTTAATTTATATTGATTTAATTGTTCATAAACAAATTTAAGTAAATCTTCATATTCAATTTCAACTTGTTCAGATAAACGTTGAGTTTTTTCACAAGTTATTATTTTTGTTTGAAGTTCATCAATTTTAGAACGAAATAAAGCTATTTCACGACGAAGTTCAATAACAAGTTTATTATCATTTACAGTTGAAATTCGTTTTGATGAACAATAAAATGGTAATAGAAGATTTATATGTTCACCAAGAAGAACACTTGATTGTCGTTCAAAATCTTTTAATGTTATTCGACCATCTAGAAAATTAAAAACAAAACAATTATATTTAATTTATTTTCATTCACAAATGTGTTAAACATTTATTATAATGAAATAGGAAAATAATATTATTCAATTTTTTTTGTCATAATATTAAGTTCAAACTTGAAAAATTTATTTGAATTTGTGTTTGATTGAAATCTGACATGATTTCATTCGATCTCTTTAATTAACAAATGTCACATTTACTGATCTCTCACTTTGAAGTTCGACTCGTTTTATATATGAGATAATTCTCTTCGAGATAATAACCTATCTACCATCTAACAAAAATACATTTCATTTTTTTGTATAGTTTTCAAAAGATCTTCATAATAAAATGATGACATAAACTAGCAATAACATAACTTAAAAGAGGATAAATTTTTAGTCAAAAAAAAACCATGCCTTTTATCTTACCTGTACTTGTTTGAGATAACTGTTGAGTAAATAGTAATTCTCTTTTTTGATCATTCAATAATAAATTCGGATAAATTTTCTTAAGTAAATCAACAAGATCAATTAATTTAAATCTTGAATTAAGTAATGATTGAAGAGCATCATGTGAAACATCAAGTCCTGCTAAGATTTGATCATTTATATTTTGTTCTTCTCGATCATTTTTATTTTCAAATGGTAAATTCAATTCACTATATCGATGTTGTTCTTGACGATGTTTTCGAGATGAACGTCGCATTCGAACTTCAGTTTCTGTTGTTAAACTTCTATTATGAAAATCATTTTTATTTTTATTTATATTATAATTAGGAATTTGATAAATATTATTATTATCATCATCATCATCAGTTGATTTTTCATTATTTAATAATTGTTGATATTCATTTGATGATAATGGTGGAATAAAATGTTGAACATGAAGACGAACTTGATTTGTTGCCGCTGCTGAACGAAGAATATTAACAGCATGTTTACGATTAATACCAATAGCTGTTTCATTGTTTATTGATAATATTTGATCACCAACCTATATTTATATATAAAAATCATCTTAAAACTCTCGAAAGGTAAATTAATTTACTTTTAATCGTCCATCTCTTTGTGCTAATCCATCATGAAGTAATTGTTTTATATAAATACCTGATTTATTAATAGCTCGTTTAGCACCTAAAATTCTTATTCCAAGTCCATTACGACTATTCGAATAAATAATGATTTCGTCTGTTTTTATCATTGATATTCTCTCACCAATACAGATATTAACAATGAGTGAGACAATATAACATTGTACTTCGTATATACACTATGCTAATTTCAACCTTGAATGCATCCGTACAATCGAAGAAGTAGAGAGAGAGAGAGAGCGAGAGACAGAGAGTGTAAGTAGGTGTTGAATCGAAAATCAATCATTGATTCATAGTTATTCAAATTGTAATACGACATAAAAACATGCAATCATATTTATTCTAGATTACTCACTCTATTTAAAAAAAATGATTCTAGAACAGCGAGTGACATCTGTTTATCATATTGTCCTAGATTTTTCTCTTAAATAAGTATTAGAACAACTCAATTATGAAAAAAAAGATAATCAACTTATTTATAATATTTTTATCTATAAAAAAACTTATAAAATTTATTCCAATTATTTTACAATTACTTTTTCTCTGATGAACACTAATAATGATAATGTAATCACTTTATTTTCATTACACACACATCTACGAAGACTTTAAGATATCTTTGAATATCTGAATCGTTATACTAAGATATTAGATTGACACGATGATTTTTTTTACTTATATCCAATTTATAGTAAATAAATATTGAAAGCTTTCCAGAACAAATAAATACGGTCGTAAACGGCCGTTTTAGATGCTTTTTTTTTTCGTCGTTCGATAGGCGCAATATTATACACTGCATTTCACCGTATGATAAACTATAGAATACTCGATTTTCAGATCGTTCGACGATCGTTATTAAGTATGTACGGCACGAAAAAGAAAACGTTCGTAATGTTACACATACCAGGTATCAATCTACAGCTATTTATGACAACAAACGGTATGAAATAACAATATACAGTATCGTTATTGGTCTTCTCAGAGATTTTAATCATTATTCTGAGCCAAATTCTAGCAATCTTGTATTGAAACTCAGAAAGTTGATTTTTGATAATTATTATAACTTTCTTTTTTTTTTGCTGCGAGCACGACAATGAGAAAGACTAGAATAGACAATTGTCTTTTGAAAGTTTGAGACAACCTACGAGATGAAGAAAAGAGGTCGGTAGATGACAAGACATATAATAGAAACAATACTAATGATTGGTGAAGACTGGATGGGACATAACTTAATAGTGATGAGTCATCATTAGTATAAAGCAAATTTGTTACGCACCCACTCTCCACACCACATATATATGTGAGAAGCTCCATATTACGCACTTGTTTCGGTTTACTTTCATAGCATTCTTTTGTTCTTGTGATTTTTCTTGTTTATATTGTACTTTGAGATTCTATCTCATAGATTGATCAAATCATGTCTTCTGGTATTGTACGTATATAAATGAATTTTTTTTAATTTTGTACTTTGAACTTTTTATTTTATTGAATTTTGTGTTCATAGGATAAATATAAACGTAAGAAAAAAGAAAAACAAGCAGCAAATAATTCTAATATTCCATCAACGGATGTTGGAGTTATTCGAATTGGTCATTATATTCTTAATGAAACACTTGGAACAGGAAGTTTTGGCAAAGTTAAAAGTAGATTTAATATTTTTTTTCTTCGATTAATATTAATAAAAAAAAATATATATATATATATTTTTTTTTGTAGAAGCATATCATCAATTGACAAGACATACGGTAGCTATTAAAATAGTTAATCGTACTAAAATAAAACAATTAGATGTTGTTGGAAAAATTCGACGAGAAATTCAAAATTTAAGACTTTTCCGACATCCACATATAATTAAATTGTAAGAAGAAAAATATATTTCTTTTCATTTAAATTTATTATAATTTTAAATTAGATATCAAGTAATTAGTACACCAACAGATATATTTATGGTTATGGAATATGTATCTGGTGGAGAATTATTTGATTATATTGTTAAAAAAGGAAAAGTATGTTTTATATTTTGAATTCAATAAGAAATATTCTTATAAGAAATTTTAGTTAAGTGAAGCTGAAGCTCGACCTTTTTTTCAACAAATAATATCCGGTGTTGATTATTGTCATCGACATATGGTTGTATGTATTATATTTAATATGTTTTTTTTCTTTCTGTTTTGTTTTTCCTTTGTTCTGTTTAGGTTCATCGTGATCTCAAGTAGAATTTTATTTAATAAAAATTATTTGGAATTAATTTAAAATTTTTAGACCAGAAAATCTTCTTCTTGACGATGCATCTCATGTTAAAATTGCAGATTTTGGTAGAAGAAAAAAATTTTTTTAATCAAAGAAAATTTATTTATTATTTTCGTTTTTTTAATTAGGTTTATCAAATATGATGAAAGATGGTGAATTATTAAAAACATCATGTGGTTCACCGAATTATGCTGCACCTGAAGTTGTCTCTGGAGAGTTAGTTCTAAAGAATTTAATTTAATTAATTAATTAATTAATTTTATTCATAATAGACTTTATGCTGGACAAGAAGTTGATATATGGAGCTGTGGAATTATTCTTTATGCTTTACTTACAGGAACTGTATGTTAACAAGTTTTTATTTTAATATAAATCAATTATTTTTATGGAAATGTTTAGTTACCTTTTGATGATGATAATGTTCAGGTATTATTCAAAAAAATTCGATGTAAGTTTTCTTGATGTTTTTTATCTTAGAAAGAGAAAAAAAAATATTTCGAACATGTTTATCTTTAAAGGAATTTCGATTTGAAAATATGTTTTTTTTTTATTCATCACGCAATTGTGCAATTAAGTTATTTACGAACAAAATAAGAAATGAAACTATTTCGAAGAAAAAAAATAATTTATGTTCGACATTTTGTTTTGCTCGTTCTTGATAATGAAAATAATGTATAAGATTACCATGACGAAAACATAGATCACTCTAGAAATTGAATATTTGTTGATAATGACAAAGCAATGTTTCATAATTCAAATTCATAAGATAAATATTATTGGAATAAAGAAATTTAAAGAATATTTTTATTATAAAGATTATGTTTCAAAAATCTTAATAATGAATAACTTTTGCATTATCAATAAAAAGAATGAGTTCATTTAGTCCGTTTATGGAGGAACAATGAATTTTTTCTAGACAATATTCTAGTTTAAGAGTCAACAGTTAAATATTTCTTATAGAATTTTTCATTGTTTTTTTAAGGATTAATTCTTAATAGAAAAGCAAACTAGTTGTTTAATTTCTTAACTTTATAGAATCTTCTAATCATAAGAATAAAGAATCAATTGCAATATTCTTCTACGATTCACACGATATTTCATCATTGATAAATTAAATTATTTTAATACTAAATCCAAAAAGATTTCGATTGATATCTTCATTCAGAGTGAGATTTGTCAACATGTTATAAGTACACTCTAATATTAATCGTTATTATACACGTGACAAAATAGTTAAGACATGGATCATCTTTCATATATACATTTAGTCAAGTCTTGGTAGATTTATATTAAATATGTTTGCCCTGTAGGAAGAATGAATAGGATTAATTCTATGAAAATATAATCTACTTTATATTACGTTTTTTAACTAGAAAAAAATTGTCTAATGAGAAAACCATCGCAAATGATTTCGACCTTTCGATTTCATCTTTTACTTATAAGTAGGTCTTTGTGAAACTAAGAAAATCCTAAAAGTATTCATGCTTATAAATCTTCGTTCCCGAGATATAGTTAACATTAAGACGAAAAAAAAAAGCATTTTTTTTTATTTATTTCAAATAATCATTCATGTATTATCGTAATAACTTAGGATTAAAAATATGTCAAAACAAATAATTTTATTAAAGTCTTTGAAATATTCATTCAACTTTTCAATGTTTAGTTAGACTAATTTATAAAATTTCCAAGCTGTACAATAGTAACGAATCTAGTTTTGAACTATTTAATATTTAAAAAAATCATAATGATACAATATTTAAGCGCGACAGCATAAACAAAAGACGATTTAATGGTATTAATAGTTCAGACTGATGTGATGAAAGCATAACACCTTGCGACACCATAACGAGTAGATAAAAACAGGAATTCAATGGTTCTCTTCATTACATAGAAACAAGCTTTGAAAATTTTTCGGATGAGTTTTTCAGTATCGATTTGTATACCATTTCTATGGAAGAAATTTGGAAAATTGAAATGCAGACATTTTAAAATAAACAAGTAATACTAATTTAATAATATTACTTCAATCTCATATTTTGATTAATATCATAGTAGTATTCCTAATATAATATGTAAATTAGAATTAAAAAAAAATAGAACGTTTTCTTCTTGTTTTAGGGTTCATTATATCTCGAGAATAAAGAGTCATAAGCACAAATATTTTTAAGGTTTTTTGAATGTCGAAAACCAATGTCAGTTCTTTATTCATTAGTTATACAATATAAATAATTGACATAAATATATATTCTGTGATTAGTTTTAAAAAATATTTTGTTAATATTTTAGCTGGAATGTTTCCCATACCTGATTATTTAAATCCATCAGTAGTTGATCTTCTTCAAAAGATGCTCAGAGTTGATCCAGTTCGTCGTGCAACGATAAAAGAAATTCGGTAAATTAATTTGTTTTTTTTTTGTTTTTTTTTTTTTTGTAAAATTTGTTTTTTTCTATTATAATATTTTAGAGAACATGAATGGTTTAAAGTAAATTTACCTGATTATCTTTTTCCAAAATCATGTGAAGATGGTACAAATATAATTGATCTTGATGCAATACAAGAAGTTTGTGAGGTAAATTCGATTTGAAAAAAACAAAGAAAAAAAGAAAGAATTATTCTAAATATAAAAAGAAATTTGGTGTAACCGAAACTGAAGTTCAAGATGCTTTATTGCTCAATGATCCTCATGATCAACTTGTTATTGCTTATCATTTAATAATTGATAATAAACGAATATGGAATGAAGGTATGTTAAATTTAAAAAGAAAAAAAAATAATATTGATTTTTTTTATTCAAAAAATTTTTTTTCTTTAGCTCGAAAAGTTGAAATAGCAGATTTTTTTGCTGCATCAAGTCCACCACATTCATCATTTTTATCATCAATGACAGTAAATTGAAAAATATTTTAATTATTTAATAAATAAATTTTTAGCCAAATTCAACATCAGCTCGTTCTCCATCACCATTTGTAAGTTTAATTAAAGTTCATTTATAATTATTTGTTTTTATTTTAATATGAAATAAACTAGTTTCAAAAACCGGTTTATGTTACACAGGTTGTACATCTTCTTTTCATATACGAATATTATCTTTATTATTGTTTCTTGCTGCTTTGAAAAATGATATATTTCTTTAAAAAAAAAAAACAAAAAAACTTTTTATTAACTATTATATTTTCGTTTTATCTTTGAATAGAAATCAGCACCAGTTCGTCCTCATCCAGAAAAAATGCCAGGTTAATTTATTTTACTTTTGAAAAAGAATATTTTTAAACAAAAACAAAAACAAAATTTATTTTGTTTTTAGCTTTAAGAGATTTAAGTGTAACATTAGATCCAATCGATACAAATAATTCATCATCAATAACTACAAGTAGTTCTCAACAAAGTTCTTCTAGTAATAGAAAATTATCAGGTTCAATAACAACGACTACAGCAACAGGAACAGGTGCTGCATCATTAAAAAAAGCTAAATGGCATTTAGGAATTCGATCTCAATCAAAACCACAAGATATTATGAATGAAGTTTTTAAAGCGATGAAAGAATTAGGAATGGTTTGTTTTATTTCATTCTTTTTTTTAAACAGATTTTTATTTTTTGTTTAATCTAGGAATGGAAATATTGTAATAATAGTATGTATAGTGTTCGAACACGTCGAAAAGTAGCCAATACAAATCGATATGTAAGTTATGAGAACAATAAAAAAAAAAGAAAAAGTGCACTGGCCGGGAATCGGACCCGGGTCGCCCGCGTGGCAGGCGAGCATTCTACCACTGAACCACCAGTGCTTATGATTTCTTTTCATTTATAATCGATATAAATTTTTATTTTTAATTATTTTAGGTTAAATTGGGTCTTCAATTATATCAAGTTGATCATCGATCTTATTTACTTGATTTTCGTAATTTAAATACAAATTCTGATCCACATCAAAATCCACCTTTTAGTACTTAACATGCTTTTTGTTTCCTTCTTCTAATTAATAGTATTTTTTCTTTTTCTTTTTTGTTTTCTAAGGAGTTTCTGATGATGATGATGACATGGAAAATGTTCGACCAGATCGTTCATCAAGTTGGGATTTTACAGATAATGAAACTGACACTACATCTGAAGATGGTGTATCAGAAGTAATGGAGTTTTTTGAAACGGCTGCTAGTCTTATTCGTACATTGGCGCCTGATTCGGCTCCAAAACCAACTCATCCAGCTTCTGCAACATCTTCATAAATGACAATATTTTATCGTTTGTCCTAAATGTCTGTGTACATATTTGCCTTTCTTCTTCTGTCTTTTTTTTTAATAGTCTTTTTTTGTAGTCGTTCTTGGCTCTGTTTCTCTATCTCTTCATCTATTTTTCTTATCTTTATTCATTAATGTTTGAGATGCAACAACATATATCATTGCCTTCCGAAAAAAAAAAAATAAAATAGCGCTTTGAAGAGAATCTGTCACTACTATTCATTGTATTTTATTGTTCACGTTGTGAATCTTCTATTGAGAAATGATAAGCAAAAAAAAATGAATCATTTATTTTCGTACGTGATGTTTTCTCTAAGGCAAAACAAATATGAAATGAAAATTTTCCATGATTGAAAATTACAACAATTGTAAAAGGACCACATACTAACAGTTATGATGATCGGAACGCATGTAAACGGCAAAATTATAACTGTATACGAGTCGTGAAATTAACTTTTCGGTGGATACACTATTATGGTTCTATGTTACCTTGTCATATATGAACACAGTTTATAATGGTATCTGTGCCGCAAACTAGCTCTATTCTCGATGGACACGGTAATATACGCTGATGTTCATGACTGTATTAACCTATAAATAAAGATTTTCTTCCTTTGCTTTTATATCTTTGTTTTACACTGATACCCTTCTGACTATAACTCTATATCAACATCCTTATACCTATAATTGTAAACTTATACTATTATACCTATAATTGTAAACTTAGACTATTATACCTATAATTGTAAACTTAGACTATTATACCTATAATTGTAAACTTATACTATTATACCTATTCTTTTTTAGCTATAGTCTGATGACTAAACCTTTATATCTTTAGTCTTAGACTCATATCGTTGTCTTTATATCCGTTATATCTATACTCATTTTCTGTATAGCCTTATATAACTATATCCTTCGATCTATATACTTACAACTATATCTCTATATCTATAATATTAGTCATATATACTTATGGCTTTACACTTACGCGTATGCTTTTACACGTATACCCTTATAACTGAATTTTTATGCATATAATCTTTAGTCTCTAACTTCATAGTTATGTCCTTAAACCTGTACCTGTTACCTATAAACGAAAATCTATACCTTTATGATTTTATTCATATACGTATACTGCTATGCCTATACACTATAGCATGTTTGCCAGATGCAATATTGAACGATGTGTGTGCCAGGATAAAAATCGAATAACTTGGTTAAGTCTATTTGTTGAATTGCGTTCTATTGAATGAGATAGGTCGCTGATGTTAACGAGCCATTGTGATAGAGACTTGTGATACTAAGGAATATTCGGAACTGGAATCAATGATTTGATTCCGATTTCGTTTAGTGAAACAAAAAACATGGCTCCAATTTTGATTCCTAAAAAGTATCTTTGGAACTGATGATCTAATAATAGTATACCAGATAACTAATATCATAATTTTTCCTAGAAATTTCTAAATTATGTATTATTTTTCGAGATTATTAATATCTATTATTTTTGAAAAATCGATTTCTTTGACAGATAAAATAACAAAGAGAAAGAATGAGAAAATCATGATTGTTAATCAGCTGTATAGTCTTTTCGTTGATAACGACTCATATTGGACTGAAGTTTTGCGCAAATATTAGAGGTACGTAGTTACGTATAAAAAGAAAATTCAGTTTTATATCTCAATCTTAGTAATATATTTATAATATTTTTTTTTCTTTATTTAATAGAAGATACTGAAGTTTGGTACCTCTCTTTTTTTATTCAAACTTTGATAAAATTTTGTTCCAAGGAGAACATTTTTTTCTTCGTTGAAGGTTATTTTTTTTTATAAAATACACTTTCAAACAAAAAAATCATGTTTGAGTTTATCTCTTATTGTCATAAAATATCACTGAAGACGTGTCATCAAACAACTACTGTAAAAAAAACAACTTTGTTAGACAAAAGAATCGTCTTTTATAGCAAAAACTTCGCTTTTAACAGGGACATGGTTGAAAGTCATAATGATAATGAAAGTTTGCATCAAAGTATCTAACCATAACCTTTTCTGAAAAAGTGATTTTTTGATAACGCTTGATTTTTTCAGAGACTTTAATCAAACTTCTAGCTATATTTAAGTTCTTCTTTCATTCAATTGTGAGAAATACGCATCGTTTATTGCTGGTGCAATCGTAGATTGATGCCTTCGATTATAGATAACGCAACACTTGCATAGCTCTCTAGCTAGCATTAAAAAATGTTCAGTTTTTCCGATTCCGAGTAAGAGAAGCGGAGAAGCTGCGATTCCAGCTCGGTTCTGGATTCCGTTTTTTTCGGAAATATTGATCGCTACATTGCAATCGAATACATTAAAAAATATTACACGTGTAGTGAATCATTTACTATTGATGTATACGGTGCATTACAATATTATCCTAATGTTATATACAATGGCTGAGTTTTTACGCTTGTTGTCAACGCCGGTTTTACATGGCTATTGTTTACGATAGTCATAATATAGTATGAAGCGCCATTCATAATTGCTATAAACGATCACTATAAACGATTGTTGTTTCCTGTCGTAATTGATTGGTATAAGGCCATGAGTGATTGGCCTAAGTTGTGAAAAATAGATGCGAATTATTTATTCATCTTTAATGTAGACTCATTCAAGGAGATACATATCCAAACTCGCATTCATTCGCACAACTATACATCTTTTAACATTAAAAATGAGTTGAGTGCTAAAATGTTCTATAGTTTGATTATCTCTTTTTCTTACATGCTAATTGATTTAGCTTGTTGGAGTCGATCTATTTTCGATCGAATTTTAAATCAGTAGGAAGAACGTTTTTTACTAAGCAAAAAATATGAATAAGATTTATAAAGACTAAACACGATAATCCACTCATGAAACACTTTGCTAATAAATTTATTTATCATACGAAAAATATCTACGGATATCAGTAAAACAAATCTTGATTAGTTAAAAACTATCTATGTTGATTAATCATTTCTATTATAGAATAAAAAGAATCAACACAAAGACATTTGTGCGACGATTTCCATCAACTGAATTTTTTCCTAAGATACATTAAAAATCGAAATTAGTGAAAACAAATCTATTTATTCATTTATTCAAAAGAAAAATAACTTTTTTTTTCTAAGATAAAAATTTAAAAAGAATGAGAAATATCGACCATCATTATTAGATAATTTCATGTTTTACTTTAGACTAAATACAACAAAACAAAACTTATTTATTTTAAGTTGGTGGTTTCCATTGTAAACTTGAACTATTATATGGAAAAAGAAACCAAGGTGGAAAATAATGTTCTTTAATACAATTTTGAAATGGTACTGGATAATTAAGATCATGAATAACATCTCCACCAGCTAACCAAGCTGCCCACCAACTATAAGTTCCAGCTGTAGCAATTGTATGTTCACATAAAGCTAATGCAGCTAAATCTTCACCTGAAAAAAAGCCTGTTGGTGTTATAAATATATCGGAAAGATTTCCAAAATTTGCTTTAACATATTTTTTATCATCACTTGCAAATAAAAAACGACAATTAATATATTTTCTTCGATAATAATTCATTGCCCAAGTAAGATATTCAATACTTGTATCGATTCGAAAAAAACTTAAAAAATCAGTTCGACGAATATGAATTCCAATCCAAGTTATAGGTATTAATGGTGCTGGAGGATTAATAAGAAGAGATTTTAAATATGGATGTGTAATATTATCTTTTGTATAATTACCCCAATTGAATGAGATATTCCAAACAGCTAAAAATGAATATAGTTTAATAAAAATTTATTAATCAAACGGATTTTTATTTCTAATAAAGAATTTTGATTATTTCATAGAATATTTTAAATAGTACTTCTGTTATGAAAAGAAAACAAAGATAGATCAAAGTTTCTCATCATAAACTTCACATCATTCTTTTAAATTATTAAAATTTATCAATGAAATTCTATCCATGATTAAACAAGATTTTCGAAATGTAGTTCTTACAAGTACTTGTCTATGCACAGTCAATGAAATGAAAAAACAAATATAAAATTAGCAAGACGAAGTCTTATCAATAATTTTTTTCATGAAATTTTCATTTATATCGATCTCTAAAGTAACAATATGAATTTAAATATTGTTTCAATATTTCAAAATTATTGACTTTTGAAATAAAAAGAATAATAATTATAAAATAAAATAACCAATTATTACCTTTAAGAAGTTGTTCAACTAATTGTATATTTCTAATAATAGCTCCTTGATTAAATTGAAATAAAAATGCAATTTCTTCTCTATATTTTTCAAAATATCCATATGCTTGATAAAATCCAATCATTTCATATCGATTAAAAGTTGAATTGAATGGAATTCTAAATAAATCACTATATAAAGTACATGCACTGTATCGTCCAAAAATATCAGTTCGATTAATAACAAGAGAATTATCTGTTGTTAAGTGAACTTTTGTTTGTTGCATTTGAATAAGGAATACTGATCGAAGATCCGCTAAAATCCATGGTGCTACATATAACTGACATTGATGAAGACGTGCTAGACCATAAGCACTAGCAAATAAAAACATTCGATTTCCAAGAGCTCCATCAGCTGAACGAATTATAATTAAACATGTTGATGGTCCTTGAGCTTTATCATGCATTTTTCTACTATTATTATTATTATTATTATTATTATTATTATTATTATAATTAAGAACTAAACTTTTAACTGAAGAATAATAAATTTTTGAATTTGATGACAATGAAGTTGAAAATTGACTTTGACCAGGCCAATAATGATAAATTACAAAAAACATAATAAGACAAAAAATAAATAAAATTAATCTTCTATGCGTCAAGCGAGATTGAAAATAGCGAATATAATCATAGGTAAGACGCTGGAAATGATCTAATTTCGACAATACTCCGTTATTCATTTAACAATTAAAATTGTGCTTGCTTATTATTTATGATGAATATCATTTTTTTATTAAGTTCTTCAAGAATTGATTTTTTTTAAATGTTGGATGTATAGAACGAATAAGAAATCTACTGTTGATGCATTTTTTTCATTTTTTTGTTCTATTTTTTTTTTCTTTTCTGCTTCTGTATGTCTTTGTGTCAATAGCGAAAGAAATGATGTGAAGTCTTTGAATGTCTTATTCTGTCTGAAAATGAAAAAAAATACAGCTAGAAAAAGAATATTAATGTTATATTTGACAAAATATACTTTAAAATTGAAGGAAAAAAAAAGCTAGATATCAAATGACAATTTGATTAATTATTTTGTTATTTTGGACAAATCATTCTTTTTGAGATAATTAAAACAAAATGTATAATTAGATTTATTTCCCTATGAACATTAAACTTTCAATCGACAATTCTTCTCCCGAAATGTTTTCGTCAGACATCAACTAATTAGAATTTTTGAATATACGACAAAATTATTACTCCCGCATCTGAGAAATCGTGACAAATATATCTTTAACAACAGAATTTACTATGCACTTTGACAAACTACTTAAAGCAAAAGTTGTAAGTTTATAAGCAAACTAAACTATAGTGTAATATTAATTGTATTTTACCTAATGAATCGAACTGAGTATCAAATATATACAACATTATCTTCAACCAAATTTTTTGAACTTATCTTTCTATTAGTTATAGTAACTATTTTGTATTTCACATATTAATCGCAAAGAAATTTTGTTCACAATATTTTTGCTTTTTATTTAGCATTGAGATTTATCTTCTATTGTTGTCATTATAGATTGACAAAACATAAAATCTATCAATTTTTACTTTTTAATGCTTATAAATCTTCTATAATTTTGCCTAAAAATTAGTAGTTTATTATGACTTGAATATAACTGATTCAAAATTGATCATACGAAATTGATATCATTATTAAGAAATTGCATTATTAGAAAACATGCTAAAATACGCTTAAAGGTGGCTTTTTTTAATATGGTTACGATAAAAAATATAATGAAAAAGAGTGAAAAACAAACTTGCTAAAATTATTTTAACACTTTTACTAATAACATACACCTCTAAAAAGAATGTCAATTGAGTAAAATAAATTTTGAATGATAATTTAGATTTTACTTTTAAAAATATTTCCCCCATATCTGTTCAACTTTGTATATTTGAAAAATACAAAAAAAATCAAACTGGACCCGAGGATGAGGGTAAAATGAGTTGATCTCTTCATCCTGAACAAGCCGCCTATATAAGAATTAAAGGGCTCGCAACAGTCTAAAGCGTTCTACGAGTTTTTCGACGAAATGGTTTTCGGCGAAGAGGGTTACAACCATATGTTGTGGTCAAAATTAAACGTATTTTTGATAGGCGAAATTGAAGTTTTTTTGGATGAACAGGAGAAGTTGAAATCTTGATAAACAAGGATGAAGTGAGTACGGGAGTACCATATGTGGATATGAATGAGCACGATTGAATGCCTGTGTTGGTGTATGTGGGTTGTGTCCTTTTAGTTTTAGATGTGGATAGGAACGAGGTCTCTATTCGATCCACATCTTATACCCACACCCACATTAGCACCCAGATATGCGCCCACACTCATAGAACCAAGACCAACCACATGCATATCCACATTCACCACATCCTTTGTTATTAAGATTTTAACTTTTTCTTTTTGCAAAAGAAAAATCAATTTTGCCTGAGCTCTTCGCTGAAATAGGAGACCCTAGGTTTTCTATCATGCCTAAGTGTACAAAGCTTTCGAAGTTCTTCTATTGTTTCCGATTTACTTCGTCATTTTTTATTAAAAGGTTTTTGAGAATTTGGGAAGATATTTTTTAGGATTCACGAAGTCCTGAAATAATGTTGAACCGAATCCTTTAAGATTTTTATCGTATAAACCTAAAAATTAGGCATATTTTGATGTAATTACATTAATTAAATCTTTAATTTGCAGAAAAAATGATTAACTAAGACGAGTCTTTCATGACGTTTGGCGAAACATTCCTGCTAGGGGGTTCTCTTTTATGGAAGATCTTCTGTTTTAAGGATGAGTTTATTTTAAAAAGTTTTAACTTTATCTAGTCAAATTGAAATTTTCATTTCGATTGGACAAATTTAAAATTTGGCTGAATTTTAATTTAGATCACAATATATATATATATAAGATTGGATCACTAAAATAACCTTCTCACAAACTTGACATATTTTCTGAGAACGACGATGTGACAATATCAAAACTGTTCAGAAGCAGAGTACTCGATATACTGAATTATTCTGAATAGTTGACAACTTATGACATTCGAACGCGTACCGTCAACTGATATCGTCGTTATCGAGATAAATATAAAAGTATATTAACATTAACGCAGTAGACAAACAGAGTCTCATATTTCCAATCGATTCTATCGAGTCAATATCGTGTATTCATTTGTGAGGTGATTAAAAACCGTTGTTAGTTTTACGTTGTATCATTGTTAGACTTGTGTCTTTTCCTGACAATGTTGAACTTTAATAGATTCAATCCTACATGTTCTTTTTGCTCCTGTTTCATAGTATAATCTTCACAACTGCTAATGCTTATTCATGTCGAGATAAAAATATTTCAATAGGTCTAAGAAAAGTCAATCGTCAAATAAATCATCAATACATCCTTAATATGATAAGAGTATTAGTGATGTAACAAACGTCCCTTCGCACTCAACTTATGACGTTGTTTCTTGATAATATAGAAATCATCATAAACAAAAGAAGAAAAAATGCTTAAAAATTTCTATTATTGCACAACTATTAGAAATATGAAAGAAATAAATATAACAATCGCTCTGCTATATCGCAAGTAGATCACAATCAAATTTAAACTTTGAGAAAAATAATACATCAACGAGTTAAACAAATAAATAATAGAAGATGTGATAATCTTGCACATATAAAAGAAAAAGTAGTCTCACACCTTTAAGAATATCGTATTTTTTTATAATTGTTAAAAAATATGAATTGCTATTCGGATAAAAAATAAGGTCGATCTACAAATATGAATGTGTTCATGTAAGCATAAGTTATCGAACTAAAGATCCAACATTTTAATGAACTCCAAGAGACAAATTCGTTAGAAATGCGTTAATTTACTTTAAAAAACGGGAAGTAACAAGTTATTGTTGAATGTAGTGAAATGTGTTTTGAAAAAAATATGCTCTAAAATATGTTTTCTTAACTGATCTTTCCGTATTAATATACTTTTCTGTCTTCGAACACGATAAAATTTGTACAATTTGCTATGCGAACCGGTAAAAAAACGCGTAATTTTAGAAAAATTTTACAAATTTTAACGTAGTCGGATATCTTGAACGTGGTTGAACGTGTTAAAAAATTCGTTAAAACAGCATTTTAACACGAGTTTTTAGAGATCTTGTCTGACTAGGTAGTAAAGAAAACCAAATAATATATTAAATAAAACGTATCAATCAATGATTCATTATCAGTCATCGATTACATAATCTATTAAATTTCATCTTAAAATCGATTTTTAACAGAATATTCATATTCATATGAATTTTTGCTTACAATATCAGACGTCATATGAAAATATTTTCCGAAAATCTGCACAAATCGTTATTCTGATTCTTTTAGTTTTTAAAGTAATTTAATTTTTTTTTCTTGCTTTTTTTTATATGATAGAAATAGTCGACTTGTATGAAAAAGATATCTCTATTTTAACTATTTGAATAAGTCATTTTTAATGAAGATATGAATAAATCGTCCTTTAATAAATCAGTCAAGCGTAAGAATAAGGCAATTCGCTGAGTCAATTCATACAATTACAATATTGCTCTAAAAACCATTTTCTTTATAAAAATTGATCAAATGAACAAATCGTTAAGCTGTATTTGTTAGTAACAAAATATTGCTTACTTGATAGTTCATGCTTGAATGCATACAAAATACCGTAACGATCAACTTTATAGAAGAATGAAAGAAAAATGAAACATGGTGCGAAGGCCAGATGATAGATGTGTCACTATCTTTTTGATTGTCTCCTTGTATGTATGCCTAACAAGGCTTCTTACACATACATACACTACTGTGTTCACAAAATTATAGGCAACTAACAGACGACTTATAACCTTCCTAATATATAATTTGGTGAAACAATGGCTAAAAAAATAACTCCTGCTGAAGTTTTATCATCGGATTTTCACTCTGATACATCATCGTCTTCAGACAAGCAACAAGATAAATCATCAAATGTAACAACCAGAAAAAGTTCCATTAAAAATTATGTCACCAATGTTTTGAGTAGACTTGGAAGAGACGATGAACAACAAACTGATTTATCACAAACTGAAATAGAAATTGATGCAAAGACAACCAGTAATGGTCGTACTTATGAAAATGTATCTGCTTTTCGACAATATCATTCTCATGCTGAGGGTGCAGCAAGAACTGATGCTCATCGACGACAAGAAGATTTTGGTAGTGACGATGATTTAGACAATCATACATTATCAGAACATGTAAGATAATACTTATTAAGATTTAGTTTTCGAAAAATAAAATTATTTTCTTTTTTTTTTTTTTTTTGTTATTTCGATTAGTCAACCAATTCAAATGAACAAAATCCAGGATTCAATTTAGATCCGAATCCAATTATTCAAGAACGTGAAAGTGGTGAACAAATATACAAACAAAAAGTTTATTTACGTCAATTACAACCACCTACTCCACAGCCAGTTGAAATTCAAGTTCAAGAAGTCTTACTTCAACCACAAGTACCAAAACCACCAATACATATTCGAGTTGGTCAACGTGAACCTCGAACTCCTTCACCAATTATCATTAAAAGTACACCACCACAACCTCCACCAATTGAACCTGATCAACCAATTATTTATAATAAATATGTTCCACCACCAAAACAACCCCCACAACAAGTATCAGTTTTTATTAGTCAACGAAAATTTTAAACAATATTATTTTAGATAATCATTCATCGTTATCCAGATTTACCACCGAAACCACGTATGTTCATTTTTATTTCAAATTAAAAATCAATTATTAATTTCTACAAAAGGTCCTATTGTTGTTGAACAATGGTTACCCTTTAAACCAGCACCAAAACGTATTATTAAACAGTCATTACCACGTGAAGCCACTCAAACTCCACCACCTCCACATAATATCATTGTTGCATATGGTAAACCACGTACTCTTGTTGAAGTTGAATTAGTTCGTTTACCAATGGTTAAAATTGATCCTTACACATATCAACAAATGAGTATTGGTGGTCAACAACAATTGGGACAATATCAAACATTTCAACATGAACGAGATTATTTATCAGGAGATTCATTAGCACATGCATCTCATCCATCAAATCAATTCAAATGGCGTATTTAGATAGAAATTAATTACATACATACACATATATATATATATGTATCAAAGTTCATATTAGTATATTGTTAATTTTTTTAACTTAATTAAAAAAAAAAGAGATGTCATTATATGAAAGACAACTAGTCAAAAGGTATAGACGTAGTGATGCTGATATTGCTTATTTTTGAGAATTGTTCATATATCGGATGCTATTGATAAACACTTATTTGTGTACGTATCGATTTAAATAGTCATTTCTAGAAAAATAAGACTATTTATCAACATCAAACTGTTTTAATATTGAGTTCTTCGAAATAACATAGTCGAATCCTAAGTATAAACACAATGTAATTTTTAATTATAATAGTCAGATAAAAAAAAGTCAATCTAATTTCGACTTTTTTTTTCAATATCAGTTTGATTCAGCCATCTTTTATTGGTAGAACAATCAAGCATCATTACTTATAACTATATTTTGTTTCCTTTATAAGATGTTTATTCGAATAAAATAAATATAATACTGCAAAAAAAAAAAATTTTTTTTTAAATCGAAAAATGAAGAGTAAATAGAAAACCAATCTTTATTAGACACGTGTCTCACAATGTATAGGAAGATAAACATAGGTATGAATAGAATTATATTATAACATGTAAACTTAATATTATATATTGAATTACATTCAGACGTAGAAAATTGAAATACTGTGATTTTTTATCATTCGTACGTTCTTGTACAACATATTTTGCTATTTGTTTAATCAGAGTCCAATGGAGTATATTTTTGTTCATATTGAAGTATTGAGCTTTCTAATAAAGAAATATTTTTAATATACGCTGTTGATATTGCATAGATAAATATCCTATGAACATTTGATATATTTCTTTTTATATTAGATAAATTAGTTTTTATGATGAATAGAAGAAATTCCTTTCATACAGAGATTTTTACTTTTCAAACGTAGCATATTGAAGAAAAATACAAAAATTCATTACCTTTCAAATAAATTGTGAAAGAGTGGATGTGGATGAACTGAAGACTTACACTCAGATCCACACTCCATACCCATTGAATGTGTTGACCTTCTACACTAATCAAATCAATTATGAAATCAAAGGATATGTGTTGAATGATACATTGTTTATTTCACTATAATTAATCAAAAGAAAACATTGTTTCTATCAATATAATAAAATTTTCAACAAATCCGAAATGTTGATTACCCACAAATTATAAAACGTAATATTCAAATTGATTAAAATGACATATGATTTTATTTTTTTTTTAATAATTATCAGCAAGAGATAGATGAAACATTTTGCGATTATTTTATAAACTAACGGGTGGCCCATAAAGAATTGCCTTCTTAGTGTTTTTAACATTTCTCCTCTATTATCCCTGTGATTCAAACACCTTTTTTTATCAAAAGATAGCCCTTGAAATTCTCTACAAAACCACATATGACTAGACCTTAAAACTATTTCAGATATATCTGAGAAAAGATGAAAAATGAAGACACACACAAAGCTGTAAAAAATAACGGATTGTACATAATGAAGGATCGCGCTTTGTACCTAATGTTTTCATCACTTCGTCCTATTAAAAAACAAAATAAACCAAGAGATGCAGCGTGAAAACATCTACAATTTATATAAGACCGCCTATTTTATAGTTGCACTTTTTGTCTTCAAAGTGGACAAGATTTTGAGCGATCAAATTTGAACCGTGCGAAAATAATATTTTTTTTAGTACAAGATGAATTCGTTTTTTCTTATTTTATCGTCTTATTACCTGATATGTTTTATTTAAAAAAAAAACACCACAAGATGCAGCGTGGAAAACTCTACAATTTACAAAGAACACATTATAAAAAAGAGAAAATAAGAAAAAAGGAATTCATCTTGTACTAAAAAAATATCATTTTCGCACGGTCGAAATTCGATTGCCCAAAATTTTGTCCATTTTTAAAACAAAAAGTGCGACTATAAAATAGCAGATCTTGTGTAAATTGTAGAGCTGTTCAAGCTGCATCTTTTGGTATACTTTATTTATCTAATAGGGCGGAGTAAGTGATGAAAACATAGGATGCAAAGCGTGGCCATTCATTAATGTACAACCCGTTACTTTTTACCGCTTTTTGTGTGTCTTCATTTTTCATCTTTTCTCAGATATATCTGAAATAGTTTTAAGGTATAGTCATATATGATTTTGTAGAGAATTTCAAGCGCTATCTTTTGATAAAAAAAGGTGTTTGAATCACAGGGATAATAGAGGAGAAGCATTAAAAATACTCTGAGGGCAATTCTTTATGGGCCACCCGTTATTAGGATGTTTTCTATCGAACTCTAAAATTCTTAATTAGTTTTAATAAATGTTCGTGAATTATCTATCTTTCTTAATCAAAGACGTCAAAGCTACTCTGTAAGTAATTGTTAAGTGTTGTTATTAAATTCAAATCGAAATCATATTCTATGGATTTAATCATCCTCATATCTATATAGTTAATTAGTGTTCACCTTTTTGTGTACTCAAAAAGTGAGTACACTATAGAATCGGTCAGTGTGTCCATCCGGCTGTTTACACGATAACTTTTGAAAGGAGAGTCCAATCGCGATGAAATTTTCTACACAGTTTAGTCTCAACAATATCTCGGTCGAGTTCGACCATGAGAAGGATTGATCGAGCCGTTCCTGAGTTATTGCAAAAATAGCCATTTTTCCCTATGGCTTCCTATGCGAAAATCGACCTATCCCCGCTTTCGTAAAAAACTTTTTCTATCATAAACAAATAAAACCCCAACTATTATATACCATTCGATAGAGAATTTCACGAGCTACAAAATGGTATATAAAATATAAAGAAACAAGAAGATTAACTCACCTATTGCAAGGGTAATTAAACGGGAATTGGTTCTGTTTGTGTACACACTCTAATTGAGCCACAATTCGAGCTCTGTCTTTCGATCACAGCGATGATAGTTCGAGGTTTTTTGGGTCGGAGAACTCCAATCTAAGTTCCGTCTGTCTCGAAATCCTATTGATTGAACAGTAGCCAATAGAAATCAAGTGTTTATAGAAAAGGTTTGCCAGGATCATTTTTACGTCCACTCATTCTACGATGACTCATCTGTCTCATCCACTTTTTGAAGTACACATAACACTCGGATTTAAATCCGAGGTTTCCACATTTATTTAATAATTATAATTGAAATTTTATCGTGAATAAAATTAAATATTTCATTTTTGTTTAACATTGAAAATCAGGCTTTCTTCTGATTGGAGTAATACTTTACAATGTGATGTTCTCATATTTAAATAAAGGTAAAGTTTTTGAATCTATAGAATATTTGAAAACCTTATCAACTGAATCTTCTTCGACAGCAACACAAGTTGGATCGATTTGGAAACACTTGGCATTATCTATACCAAGGACATGCTTGCTTACTTTTGTGCAATCACGAAGTTCCGCTGGGAATGGATGCTCTGGTGCTTAAGGATATCTCCAGAAAAACTTTATATGACGAGAAAAAAGCTCCTTTTTTTGTAACCGGCTGAATAAGATCATACTTAACAGAAATGACAATAAAACTAGTTTGAGAAGCTAATTGATGTTTTATGAGATGATGAATTTCTAAATAAATAAATTGACTTCAACATCGAAATATTATCATACACTGATAAATTGAATCTCTAATAATAATCTTCATTATTTTCATTGTTGCACTAACAAGGAAATATTTCCAAGTGATCCGCTCCTTTTGCCTTCGTATTTTGTTCATTTGTAGGGCCTATCATAGTACGGAAAAGTCTAAGAGGATTTATGCCCTTGTTGCTTCTTTCGAAAGTTATGACCGTTTTATTGATTTTCGGACCATTCATAGGTGTTTATTGAAACAATCGTATTTCGGATTTTCTACTTGAAATTTTGTCCATAGATGAGTGCAATGATCCCTTAGAATATCCTGAAAGTTTTACTCAAAAAGAATGTTACTTTCTCGAGATATTGATTTTTTAAGCGAACTCAGTTTTTGTGACTTATCTGTCGCAAGCGACTATTTTTTGAAATATCAATATCTTGAGAAAGGAACATTCTTTTTGATGGAAACTTTCAATATATTCCAAGGGCCGTTAGATCTATCTATGGACAAAATTTCAGATAGAAAATCCGAAATACGATTATTTCAGTAAACATCTATGAATGGCTCGACAATCAGTAAAACGGTTATAACTTTCGAAAGAAGCAACAAGGGCACAAATCCTCTTAGACTTTTTCGTACTATAATAGGCCCTACATGTAAACAAAATATAAAGGCAAACGGAGCGGATCACTTGGGAATGTTCCCTCGTAAGTAAACGAATACGATCCATTTATGAAACAGCCTCACTATTTGAAATATGATATAACCATGCAACTATACCATATGAAAATCCTATCAATTATAGGTAAACATTAAATCTTGCAAGCTATTTATTTAGTATGAAAGATAAATGTAAATATAGATATGGTATATTAGAAAAGATAATTATGTAATAATAATTATGTTTGTTGTCTTCTCAGAGATTTTCAATGAAAAAAAATAAATAAATATTTCACCATCTGTAATTCTTAAAGCAAATAGGAATTTTTTTCTTTTTGCGTTCTCTTTTTTTACCACAATGTATATTATAAAAAAAGCGCTTTGTCAACAACTTTCGTTCTTTCATGGTTGCAGCAACATCAAGGACAAAACATTATAAATTGTGTTGTCTGGTACTTCTTCACGTTGGTCCATACTGATCTATATTTAGACAAGAAAAAGGTAAGATTCATTATTCTTAAATAAACTCCTGTTATATGAGAATTTTGAAAGGGAATTCATGTCATCTTTAGACAACCTTGAAATTTTATATTTGTCAAGGTGAATTCAGAACGAAAAGAGCAAGCATAAATACTCAAGGAGAGGTACACACCTTAGGTGACCTTGATTATTTCAAATTGTTTTGATATTTATTCTATTGTTATTCAATTAATCCATTTATTCTCA